AAAGTTTTCCCATCTTACATCGGAAAGTTCTCACTCATGTAACCTCATTGAAACTCACCCCACCCCATGGTTCTCTCTGTGTATGCTCACCACTATTGCGCTGGTTGTCATGCTACACGGTAGCTGACTAGTAGGTAGAAACTAACCAGTAGGGTCCCTTCATTATGGGCTGTAGATCTACAGGCCAGCTGCTTATGGTGTGCGTGTGTGTGTGTATGTGTGTGTGTGTGTGTGTGTGTGTGTGTGTGTGTGTGTGTTGGGAGAGTGTATAAACAGGGAGAGACTTCACATGATCCCAGAAAGTCTCAGCAGGGTAACATGGGTTCTCTGAGTTTTCCCCAAGTGACCAGTCCTCCCCTTAAAACCTTACAAGCTGGGTCCTCTTGTGCCACATGGAATAAATGTGTCTCTTTCCAGGCATTAGGAAACAGCTGTGTTTTAATTCCATCAAAACACTGGTCACCTTTTTTGAGTCTGAGAAACCGGAACCCATGCCCTAAGGCTGCCCTGGGTTCAACCCATGGACACAGAATGGAGTTCCGGGTGAGAGGCCTGCCCTGGGTGCCCAGGAATGTCTCCCGAAGCCCATAGGGTCCAAACAGCAAGTCCGGCGACTCAGGTTACTTTTCGGTTCACACTCACTCCATCCCTGCACAAAAGGGAGGAGTTCCCATTGGCCCTAGATGCTGTATTCTCTGGGTGTCTGTCCCACTGTAGCTTCCCTGTAATGACCCATGCCATAGCCACCCTTCAGTCCTCAAATGTCACCTTCTCTGTGAGTTATCCCTGCTGATTATAATGAATGATCCAGTACTCCCACCACACTAGCGGATGGATGGATGGATGGATGGATGGATGGATGGATGGATGGATGGATGGATGGATGGATGGATGGATGGATGGATGGATGGATGGATGGATGGATGGATGGATGGATGGATGGATGGATGGATGGATGGATGGATGGATGGATGGATGGATGGATGGATGGATGGATGGATACACTAGCGGATGGATGGATGGATGGATGGATGGATGGATGGATAAATGGATGGATTTGGTCAATACATGGAATATGGGTGCATTGGATGTTTGAGTGGATAAATGGGTGATAACTAGTATATACATGATAAATGGATCATTAATTAGAGGGATGAATGGTGGAATAAAGATATATGGTGGCTGGATGATGCGTGAGCGATTGATAGTAGATAAATGAAAGTTATGGATAGACTGATATTAGGATGACAAAAGGACACTGATGAATTCGATATATTTGTGGAGGGATAGACAGATAATATGATGATGAATGTATGGATGGTTAGCCTAGGATCACAACTGAGGCAGAGTCTCAGAAATTCCAGAAACTTGGGCCACCACTGGGTCATAACTAATCATTTCTAAATTAACCAAGAAACATTTTGACAACCTTTCTGAAATCTTTGTTCTTGATATCCCCCTTCCTCAAATTCAGGATGGTAGTTACCTCTAGGAGTAAATAGTGTCTAATTTCTTTAAAAAAATATCTCTGAAAACAAGAATGGCACCATAGTACATTTTGACCGAGCTGGAGGATTATTGATCATTATGTCAGTTTTTGACATTGCTAACATTTCAAGTATCTACACTAATAAAAGACAAAGATGCTAATTGACCGTACCTTTCCTACGCCCAAGCCACGCCCACCAGCCAGTCAGAGCTACTATATGCAAATTAACCCAACCAAGATTGCGGCTGGCAGCCACGGAGCTGGAGCAAGCAG